TTAAAAAAAACCCTTAATTTATATTTTCATGAAGTTTGTACTTGCAGCTGTCATCCAAGCTTCACTTTGTTTGGCTACCTGACAGCTTTTATAGCCCTTTTGGTCCTAAAGGTTTTTTTTTCCTTTGGAGGTTGGGAGAAAGAGCTGATAAGGTTGCTTTTCACAGTTTTAAACTGAGCCCTGCATAGCTGGGATAGCTCAGCAGTTCGTCAGCTTTGACATCAGTATTCACTCCTTTTAGGTAACAGAAGATCAATGGCACCATAAAAGCAATTTATCTTATTCTTACTTTTAGCTTGTCTAGGAGCAAAAATTTTTTTGGTGGGTGGCGGGAGAGGGGGACGACAATGTCACTAGTTGTATCATAATTTTCCAGCTACTGTACTGCAGTGGTAGGAAAGCTCTTTGTGGCATACAATATATTTCACTTTCTGCAGCTATATTTATTCAAAGAGCATGTTCATTATAGAGACATACTAAAAGTGAAAATAAAACAAAATAAGTGCTCCTGGATGCTCCCATCTATCATTAGATGCTATCTGAATTGCAGCGATGCCATTGCATCATGCAGCCGCTTTCTCTGTCCCCACGGTTTTGAGCCAATCTTGTTACTGCCTCTGAATTGTTCCCTTGATTTAGACTAAAACGAACAGTTCAATTTCTCAATTCCTTTGCAATTTAAATTAATCAACTGAACTGAAGTGTGCATGTTTCCCCCTCCAAATGGCTTTTCCCCCTGCAAATCACTGAAAAGGTGTCCCATAATAGGCTGTTATGCAAATATTATTGTTTAACCACTTCTAATACAATGAGAGTCTTGTGTTGCTAGCCAATTTCCACAAGTTACCAAAGAGTGGAGAATAATGCAAATTAACTGTCATGAGTCTCTGGTAGACTGTTATCACTTGCTTTTCACTGCTACTGCTTGACTGATGACCATCACCTGCAAAGCGAAGGCCCCAACTCACTTTAAGGCCAATTAAAACAGATAAACTCCACTACATTCATGCCAGACTTACATTGGCTGTCTTTGGCATAACCCCAACTACTGGGCCACTAGGGGCAAAGTCTACCAGGGATAAGTATAACAATGCTACACATCTCTGCTGGTTTATGAAAAGTCAGGCAGAGAAAAAAAAACAGTTCAGATGGATATGGATATGACAGAGTGGCTATGTTAATAGAACGTTTCTGGTCAGAATTCACTAGTATAAACCCCTACACACAGCTTATGATGCCCTTATTTGGTTGGTCACTCTTTGGACTGGTCACCCTCATAGGCCAAGCTGCTACAGGAACTTTGCATTAATAAGACTGACTCTGGCTACCTTAAACGGTTATATTTCAAAGTGGTTTTAAGGATCTGGTCATCCTCTTCTGAGGAAAAAAAAATCTGTAGGGGAGAAAAACTCTTGGTATGTCTACACTACAGTGCTATTTCGAATTAACTTAATTCAAAATAGTTAATTCGAATTAAGCTAATTCAAAATAACGCATCTATACACAAAAAACATTTCGAAATAACATTTTGCTATTTTGAAATAGCATGTCCACACTGAGTGGACACTGAACCGAAATTAAGGCTGGCCAGAACCAGTGTTGGCAGGGCATCAGTTTAGGACTTAGTGTGTGGGGCGGCTGCCTGAGGCTAACTGAACTTAGAGGGACCCTACCCCCACCCCGGAGAGACAGTTCTCAGGGTTCTCCGCTTGCTTGTCTACCTTGATGAGGGACAGCAAAGCAGTCCCGTCTTGGAGTACCCTGAGTGCTCACACTCGGTACACCACAGCACTTGGCCACATGGAGCCAGAGCTGCCCCTGGACACGCTGGTACGTCTTGTGAGATCATTGTCATCAGCCCAGCTGCACTTGCTGCAGGCTGCCTCCGGGGGGCGGGGGGGTCCATCGGGGAGCTGTCAGGATCCAGGAGGCCCTGAGGGAGAGCATCCACCCTGAGGAACCTTCGGAGTCTCCCCGGTCCTCCCCACTGAGGGCTTGTGCCCCATTCCTCCCTCATGTCCTTCTGCTTACCCCTTCCTAGCCCCCCTTCCTGATGTCAAATAAAAGACACGCATGTTCAAAAATAGAAACTGGGTTTATTGAACAAAACTGGGGGGGAATGGACTTCTGGGGAGACTGGGAAAAGGAGATGGGAGAGGGAAGAGAGAGGGGTGGGGGAAACCTGGGAGGAGGGAGCGGGAAGGGGGAAGCAAGGGGAAGAATGGGGAGAGGAAGCTCAGGGCTCAGGGTTGGGGGTCTCACCGGACCACCCTGACTTTCATGCAGACCTGCTCCTGGGTTCGCATGTGGCCTTTGGTGGCCAGGCTGGCAGCTATCCTGCCATAGATGGCCGTGTTCCTCCATCTAGGGCTGAGATTATGGAAGTTGGGGGCATCCCCCCCAAACCTGAATAAGGTCCATGATCTCCACCCTGGACCAGGAAGGCACCCGCCTTCTCCAGCCCGTGTCAGGCTCCTGGGAGCTGGCAGACTGCTCCTGGGGAGCGGTGGAGGGCTGGCTGCCACTGGCTTGCTGGCTCATGTTTTGGGCCACTGGGTCAGGGGCTCTGGTGGCCACTACTGGCTCTGGGGTGGCAGGCTTGGAGCTGGCACTGTGGCCAGGGTCTACCCCTTTAATGGCTCTGGGGCTGGGGGAGAGGAGAGTAAGTTTTCCTGGTTGTGCCTAGAGTGGCCACCAGGACTCCCTGGGAAGGTCTGGAGTCCCCTTATTTCTAACTAAGTGTCTACACAGCACTTAATTCAAAATAGCTATTTCGAATTTGGTGTTACTCCTCATAGAATGAGGTTTACCAAATTCGAAATAAGTGTTCCACTACTTCGACTTTATTTTGAAATAGCGGTTTGGCTGTGTAGACACTATTAAAGTTAATTCAAAATAACTGCTGTTATTTCGAATTAACTTTGTAGTGTAGACATACCCACAGTGATTTTTCCATGACAGATGTTTTGCTGACTTCTAGAGTGCACATTGGGTAAATGACCTCTGTGTGCCACTTGCATGGATACAAATACTATTACCGTGCAGTCCCATTAAAAGAAAGGTTCCACTTCACAGTATTGAAGTTGTAGATAGGAAGAGACATAGTAAAGGGAATGCAACATCAGGCTGTGCTAGCTTTTCTTTATAATCTCCTACAGCACTAGGCTGGGCTACAGGACAATTTGTACACCAGTGAACTCACTGCTGATCCAGCTGTACAGCACTGGAAATTTCATGACAATTTCCTGCAACATCACACTGAGTGAACCCATTTACCTCCTCATTTGTGAGAAGGACAAAGGCTACGTCTATTCTTGCACTTGATTGACAGTGCTTAACCTCTCCCAGCTCCCGCATGAACAACAAAGTTTTGATGCAGCAAGTGGAAGTGTGAACACTGCTTTGGTAGCAGGAGTGCTTTTCTGCTGATAAAGCAAAAACCCTCCTAGGAGGTAGAAGTATTTTGTCCCCCAACTGATGACAGAGACAAACAGTGTTTGCACACCCCAACTTTTAGCAACAAGACTCTGTGTTAGGGATGTTAACTAATGATTAATTTACTAGTCAAGTAGTTGATGGATATCCATCGACTACTTGACTAGTCAATAGTCACTTCCGTGTTCCTCCTTTGAAATGTACAAGAGCCACATTTCAAAGGAGGAATGCACAACTCCGTGTGCACCCCAGGGTCAATGGGAAGTCCTTCTGACTCTGGGCTGCACGTGGGCATGCCAGCTTTGAAATGTTAAAGAGTCCCCAGCGGGGGCTCTTGTGCATTTCAAAGTGAAAGCGCCCTCATGGAGCCTGGGGTCAGCAGGAGACTCTGAGTGCCCTTTTGACCCCGGGCTCCATGCTACACTGATGCTTTGAAACACCGAGTGGAACTCCCCAGCTGATCCTGGGTTCCATGGAAATGCCACGTGGAGCCTCCCCGCTGACCCCGGGCTCCACGTGGTGCTGTGACTTTGAAACGCCACCTCGGCATTTCAAAGCAGTGCGCATGGAGCTGACCCCAGGCTCCAGGCTGCATGCAGTGCTGCCCCTTTGAAACGCTGCAGCCCGAGCTCAGTTGTGAGGCACTGCCACTTTGAAGTATCCCTTCTTCCTCCCACTCTTTGCTGCCGCTATTTCATAGAGGCAGCAAGGGGGGGAAACAACTAGTCGACTGATCAACTGACTATCCCACAAGCATTTGCTTATCGGATAGTCAAATAGTTGACTAGTCCTTAACATCCTTAGTCTGTGTCAACAGCCTTGTTGCTAAAAGTTGCTAGTGTGGACATTACCATAGACACCCAGGTACTCCAGTGGGGTATCAGCATAATCAAATGACCTGCTGCAGATTATCACTTAAATGACCATTCTTTGTCAAAATTTTTAAAAAATCAATAGTCCTGAAGCACCTTAGAGACTAACAAAAATGTCGATGGTATCATGAGCTTTCCTGGGCACAACCCATTTCTTCAGATGAATTAAAGGGTCCGAAAGTACACATAAATAGCAGAGAAAGAGGGGAGATGGGAAGGACAAAAATTAGGAAAAATATTGTCAATTAGAGTGTCTGTGATAAATGAGGCTAATAGAGTGGGCTCTAAGCACCTGGTACTTAGCTTTTTATGTCATTAGGTTGTGGAATGCAGCGGCCCATCCAGGTCAGGTCTTTGTTTAGACCTCCATTCCAGGTGTCAAACTTATAAATGAAACCAAGTTCTGTAGCTTCTCTCTCAAGCTGAGTTTTGAAATAGAATTGAAATAGTCACTTTTAGATCCATTAGTGAGTGCCCAGGCAAGCTGAAATGTCCCACCCCTCCCCCCGTTCTTTGGCAGGATGAAAGGTTCAGGCAAGAACTTTACATATTGACAATAGAACAACTGGGAGAGCCTGTGTAAACAGACTACCTGTTACCTAAATTCCAGCTGTAAAAAATTCTCAAACAGGAATCAATGATAGAAGAATGGGTAACACTCAAATCACCTTTCTCCCTGCATTTCTACTCAAGGCATCAACGATGTTTGAAAGGCAAAGGAAGTATCATTGAACTAGCAGGGGAGGCCCTGACTGAAGTAATCTACCCATACTGCTGTGCACTTAGGTAAGAAAAACATTTTTGCTTCTAATTTCACTTAACTTGTTAAGTTAGATGATATTTTATATTCTTTGGAACCAGTTATGACTTTAATGCATCATTACTTGTAATTGCTTGAAATCTTCCTGTACTTAATATACTTGTTTTATTGTTGTATCTAAATATGTTTTAATTAAAGCGGTTGGGAACCTCCACTTGTGATAAGGCCTATGCATATCATTTTCCACTGATGAAATTATGGACTTTTTAGGAGCTTGTATTGCCCATTAAGAGAGAGTTAGGCAGTACAAGAGACACAGTTTTGAGGAAAGACTTGGGCCTGGGAAGTTGCTGGTGTCACCCTGTGAGTAAATTCATGAGCATGGAAGTTGGGAGTGATTTTGCATGGTGGAGCAGGACCAGGAAAGGTATGTTTTCACAGCATTGCAATGTAAAAGACACCTCAGGTTGGAGGTGTAAGGGAACACAGCTGTTCGGCAGTTCAGACTGTACACTGGAGAATATCATATAGTTGATTATTTCATGTTTTAAAACTGAAGAACACAAAAATCCCAGAATTTGCTGTCAGACCAATTAAATCATGGACTAGAATTCTGGTATCAAAGCCTCTTCTTTGATTAAAAGGTAATAATGCCCACTGACAGAGAAGGGAAACAAGAAATTTTTTAAAAAAAATCCAGAACAATCAAAGCCTTCTAGAATGTATTGTGAAGCTCACATATATATTGGGGTCAATCATGTGTTTTTTTACCATGAGAGCACAATGGCTTCAATTATCCATTCACAGGTATGCCACTAGTGAACTGTCACATCTTCTTAACTCAGCTGAAGGAGAATAATGTCACTCAGAAGAACATTGGGCTTTGCTCCTTCACTTAGATCCTTCCCCTACTTAGACACATCAAGTCTCTATAAAAGGACTAGTTGTGTAGCAAGGGAACATCAACACTTTAAACAACAATCATGAATGAAGAGGTGAGCTAAAATGATTGAAACATCTAGCAGAGACAAGGGCACAATTATGTTAATTAGCACATATGACAAACACTATTCATATTAGTATAATCAAGTCCATGCTGAGATGGAAGTGTTTCATACAATACGTCCATCACTGAATTAGAGCCAGGATATTGTATCCTGCCAGGTTGGTTCTTCTTCTTTCTTTTCTCCAGAGGACGTATCACTTTGAGCATCCTTCCGCCATAGTGCCAAGGTTGTTCTCAATTATAAAGCTCACTTTTAATTTGCATTATACAATCACTGAGGCCATTTGTTATTAGAATGTATCTGTGTGTGCTTGTGTTTGTTGTAGTTTTGTTTCCTGCATTTGGCTGTGGTAATATTCTTTGAAAAGATCTATAGTTCTATATTCTGTGAAAAGATCTATTGTTTACTTCTTGCCAAAAACAACAGGGAAATGAAGGGAGAAAACTGATAACACGGTTCCCAAACATCATGTTGAGAGAGATCTTAGAATAGAATGGATATTGTAACCAAAGAGGTAAATTAATTCTCAGCTGATTATATTTCGAGGACAAACTCTGAAAAAATAATTCATTTTTTCAAAAATGCATTTGACTAATATACTTGGACTTTTCCCAAAACCACCTCTTCTCCCTCCCCAAATTGCAACAAGTATATTTGATGAAAACCCAAAAAATTTCCATGGGAAAATTTCACAAAATGGAAAAAATCTTAAATATTTTTTAGGACAAGACATTTCTCCAACTAATGCTAGTCATTAATGCAAACAGAATGGTATTGTGC